CGGCTTCCTTTTCTATGCAATGGAAACAATGAGAGTACCTGATTCACGGGGTTGTTGAAAGGACTACTGAGCTGTAGTATGTAAAGTGCCTGGCTCATGAAAAGTACTCAACAAATCCTGGCTGTTAGTGTTACTGTTAGCATCATTTTTGTTTGACATAGTCACATAAGCAGAATTGGTAAATCTAATTGAGTGGAGTGAATAGATATGACTCTTTTTGCGCACTTCCTCTCTCCCCTCAAAGTCTGGTCTTATGACTAGGTTGAAATAGCAACTATTTATAATGTCTGCATAGATGTATTTTCTGTGATGTTTTTATTGCTAGGAAGTGAGTTTGTGGATAACTGCATGGGTCCCTTGTTATTAACTCATTCACCAAGAGCTAGTTTTCCTCCTGAGTTTATCCTGAAAATAATAATATCCTGCACTTGTTGACTCTTGTTTTAATAGCCTCTTAAATTAATGTTATCTCATTTGTACCTTTATGAAGAAATCTTATGAAGTAATCCTGCAAGGATTAATAAAATGAAATAAGATATTCATTTATACAACCACCTAGACCCATGCCTGGAAAAAACATAGGATCTGATTATTTAATTCCACTAAATGCCATATAAATTTTTACAGAAGCAAAGCTAATGAATTATTGAGAACATTTGCTTATAAATTTAGGAAAACAGGGCCTGGCATGATAGCTTAGTGGGTAAATCCTTGCCTTATATGCAGCATGATTCCATGTGGGGCTGGGTTTAAGAACTGGCTGTTCCACTTCCAGGCCAGCTCCTTGCTTCTGGTCTAGAAAAGCAGTGGAGGATGGCCCAAAGCCTTAGGACTCTGCACCCATGTGGGAGACCCAGAAGACATTCCTGGCTACTGGCTTCGGATCAGCTCAACTTTGGCTGTTGAAGTCACTTGGGAAGTGAACCAATGGTCAGAAGATCTTTCTGTTTCTCCTTCTCTCTGCAAATCTGCTTTTCTTTTCTGTTTTTAAGACTTTATTTTTACTGAAAAGCCAAAGTCCAAGGTTTGGGCTGTGATAGATTGCTTTCCCAGGCCACAAGCAGGGAGTTGGGTGGGAAGTGAAACAGCTGGCATACAAACAAGCATCCATATGAAATTAGGGTGTATGCAGGGCAAGAACTTTAGGCACTAGGCTACCCTGCCAGGCCAGTATTTTTTAATGTGTTTTAGGAAGATCCATATCAGATATCATCTCTGTTGTTCAGCTGTTCAGTTCAGAGGAGCAAAAGGTTAGGTAGTATAAGGATTGCAGAAACAGGTTCCCAATCTAAGGTTACTGCAAAATGTTGGTGGGAAACTAAAAGTTTATTTTACTTTGCTACACAAATGGTTTGAAATCTATGAATAAAAGCCAGCTTCAAATAGTTGAAATGTGTATAATAACAGAACATATGCTTAAATTTTAAAATTTTTCCATATCCAAAAACCTTTTTTATTTCTTTATATTATTAGGTCAGGGTGCTAAAATTATCCTTAAAAAAAAAAGAAAAAAAAGAAACTCTTGGCACAGGAGCTCAAGTACTGGGGATATCCTCCACTGATTTCCCAGGAGTTGAGCCACTAGGACTTGAACCAGCACACTTATGGAATGCTGGTAGTGCAGGAAGAAACTTAATATGCCACGGCACCTGCTCCAGAATATTTTCTTTTCTTTTTTTTGTAAAATTTATTAATTTTTAAAAAGATTTATTTTTATTGCAAAGTCAGATATACACAGAGGAGACAGAGGAAGCTCTTCTGTCCAATGATTTACTCCCCAAGTGACCTCAACGGCCTGTGCTGAGCCTATCCAAAGACAGGAGCCAGGAGCTTCTTCCAGGTCTCCCATTTGGGTGCAGGGTCCCAAGGCTTTGGGCCATCCTCGACTGCTTTCCCAGGCCACAAACAGGGAGCTGGGTGGGAAATGGGGCTGCTGGGATATGAACTGGCACCCATATGGGATCCAGGCACGTTCAAGGCAAGGACTTTAGCTGCTATACAACTGCGCTGGGCCCAAGATTTATTTATTGAGAGAGAAGGAGAGACAGAGAAACAGATCGTCATCTACTGGTTCGCTCCGCAAATGGCTGCAACAGCCAGAGCTGAGCCTAACTTTATGTTCTAACTCAATTTTTCTTTTTAACTCAATTTTAAAAAAAATGTTCTCATGTGCTACCATCCTCAGAATCCAGCAACCATTTAGGAAGACACCAGGTCATGTAGAGAAGCTAAGGCATTAGAACCAGCCAATACCATTCACCAGATGAATGAATGCATGAGCTTTCAAATTATGCCAGTGCCTGCACTTGTAAATGAACCATCAGCTCATTTGAATACAAATGGAGCAGAGATGCTCTGCCAAACACTGCCCACTGTCTTCCTCATTGTTTTTCAGACAAAAATAAATAAAATTAGCACAGGAAGACCTGATGGTGTGAATCTGGGTGTAAGTCCTCTGAGGGACCACTCTGGTTAAAGCAACTCAGTTCGCACCCGGTTTCTCTCGTTCTGTTTCTTCCCGTCGGTCCCCAGCATAGATTATCCTCCCCCTAGGAAAGCAATCTTAACCCCCAAGGTTGGAGAGGAAAGTGTTAATCACAGTGACATTGGACAGGGTGGAAACCTCCTGAGATCCATTTAGAGTTTTCGCAGCCTCTGTAGACTAGCACAGGTGCGCACACATCTGAGCCAGGAGGAAAAGGAAGGTGTTGCTTGGGAGTGCGTAACTGCTCAGGGATGGCCTCACTTAGAGTGGGTCTCTTCATCAGGTCATTTTAGCTGCAAGGATTGTTTTATTACTTTTCGCAGGAACCTCATGCTCACAACCTCATTCTACTAAAATGCCAGTTAGCTTGGAAGTCATGCTCACAGCATTTAATTGACTTAAACTAAAAAGAAAGACCAATGTGGCTTTTCATCCTGACAGTTGTAATAGATGTGGGTTCTACAAAAAGAAAAAAAAAAGATAAATCTAGGTGTAGCTGATAGACTTCAGAATGGATTAGGGAATTTCAGAGAGGGAAGAGGAAATGTGCGTAGTATCCGAAGCCAAGACGGGAAGAAGTCAATGACAGCCGTGGGCATAGGAGGCACTCAGGAGGTCAGGGTCTCCTACTTTCCCCTACTGCCCAGCAGGATTACAGCCAGTACATCCAGGAAGTGGGGACTAGAAGGGATCTTAAGAGATCATCTATCATCGTTTCTCTGCCTTTAGGGAGCAGGAAACTGAAAACATTCTGTATGAATTAAAGAATTCTTGTTTGTAAATTCTGTTTCTCTGAAGGATCTCACCAAGAGCCCCAGGGAAGCCATTAAGAATCAATCCATCACTATCAGGAAATTGTCCATTCAATCGTTCCCTGCTCAGTTTTAGACTCTTCCCTTTTCATCTCTTTGTGAAGGAAAACCATCACTGATGATGATCTTCCCAATAAGAACCCTTCATGTTGTTCATCTCTTTTTCCTAAAATATGTTTCTGAAGCTTCTCTTAATGAGCTGTTGTCTTGTCCTTAATATATTGGTTCATACTGAGCCAAATTATAGTAGTCCTCTATTTCTGCACCTTTAGTTACTCATAATCAAGAAAAAGAAATGCAAGTTCTATATAATAAGGTATTTTGAAATAAAGGGAAATTATTGGTGTATTATTTTGATATTTAGTAGCTATTATTGCCATTAGTCTCAACGTTTCTAATTTAGAAATTGAGCCTTATTAGAAATCTGTAGCTCAAATGCACGCCAGCATTCTAAACCACAGCCTGATGATAGTTGGTACGCTTTTGCTTATCACTTTCCTGCTATTTTCCAAGCTTGCATGAAATTGTTCCATCTTTTCCAAGAACTCTCTTTAGCTAAATATTTTTAACACCCTGTGATTGCAAATTTTAACTGTCCTTTCAATGAATATGTAGAACCCATGTCTTAAAAACATAATTTTTTTTCCTTTTTTCTATTTATTTATTTTTATTTTGACAATCTTTAAAATAATTTAAAAACATGTCAAAAAGGTAGAGGAGTATGCAATGTAAATTTTTCTTCCACACTTGATCTTAGCCAAAAGGCCAAGAAGTGATAAATTTTTCTTCCGATATCTGTTCCAGTTATTCAATTCTCCCCCATGAGGTTCAGCTACACATGTATATGTTGTATATTCATGGCTGGAGTTCAGGAATACATATGATTTACTTCATTGCTTTGCAGTGTGTTTTAACATGGCACTACATCTGTTTAAAATGTTTAATAGTATAGCTCGGGAATCTTTTCACTTTGGTACACACAGATCTCCCTCACTGTATTTTAGGTTTGAATAGCATACTAAATGTATGCTCCATAATACATTCTTAAGATTTGTTTATTTTTTTATTGGGAAGTAAGATTTATGGAGACAAGCAAAAACAAAGACCTTCCATCTGCTTCACTTCTCAAGTGGTCGCAGTGGTCAGAGTCAAATCCAGGAGCTTCTTCCTGGTTTCCCAAGGCTTTGGGCTGTCCTTTTTTGCTTTCCCAGACCACAAACAGAGAGTCGGATGGAAAGTGGAGTAGCCAGGACACGAACCAATACCCATATGGGATCCTGGTGCATACAAGGCGAGGACTTTAACCATTAGCCTACCGTGATGGGCTACTTTATAATATATTTATTCCTATCCTTTCTCAATCCTGATTGCTTTCTCTAAAAATATCCTCTATCAAAGCTTGTAGGAGACCCACTGTCAGGGCTCTCAAACCCCCACATTTATAGGGCCCAGGAAATTTACTTAAATGAATGAAATGAACCAATTGGAACCTGAACCTTAGAACCATTGTATGATATTGCCTGGTCAAAGTTTTTAACATTATGCAGGCCAAGAAAAACTCATCTGTAAGCCAGATCGGATGCAACCTCAGATCCACCACTTTGCTGCCCTTGCATTGCTAGCTAAAAATGCATGTTATTAGTTTCCACTGCTTTCGACACCGATCATCCCCACCTATTTACTGAGGTTTTCTCTCATTCCAGGTTCTTGGTTGTGGCTCTGTTGCCCAGGCTGTACTGAGTCGAGGACATTTTGGAGGAATTGTCACTCTCAATGTCGGATTTGCCATGTCAGTTGTAATGGCCATTTACGTGACTGGAGGTGTTTCTGGTAAGCAGTAGAAATAACCACAGCTACTGTTAATTCAACCACTTTCCAGGATGTTAGTGCAGTGCTGGGTGTTTCAAATGCTTGAATTTATTTAGACCTCAATGATCTTTAAGAGCTCATCTTTTTTGTGGATAGTTTAAGAACAATTACTTATGGAAAGGCAACAGTTAGCAGGAGACAAAGACGGGTGGGAACTGATGACTGATTCATCCTTATGTCTGGTCCCTTTTACAATCAATGTGATGCTCTACTGCACCATTTCTGAGATATCCACAAAAGCCACTATAGCAAATAAAGGTTGTCTGGACATTTATCCACAGTTGTCAATGAGGGTCCAAGTCCCTTGAAAAATGGATGGTGCTTTCATAGAAATGCATATCTCGTCTAGAAGGTCTTGGCTGAATTCTTCTTGACAACAGAGCTGTTCAGAAGCCACTCAGGGCTGTGGCAGGAAATTTTACAAATGTTGATATTTAGTGAGCTTATGACCATGGGGACTTCAGAATTGAGCTGGCTACTAAATGTGCTCTGGGTTTGAGTGGCCGGGCTGGACTCTGAACACTGAACAAGCATGCTGGTGGTAAGGGATGAAAGCATTCTAGCAATATTGCATTTCAGGCATCAAGCTGGGTGTTGGGTGTGTTTGATCACCTTTCTGCTTTAGGACCACACTCTGAGGTTGGTATGATAGTCTCCATTCTATAGAGAAAGCAAAAACCCCAAAAGGGAAGGCAAGCCTAGACTACTGGGAGTATTGCTTACTGGTCAGGACAATTAGAGGCTTTAGGAATGTGCAGAGACAACACATTTTCCCATCCTGACCTCTATGCAGAGCACAGCCTCGGTACTGAGCTCACAATCACAGGAACGAGAGAAGATTGTGTTGGGGAGGTGACCGAGTGAACATACTGGTTTACGGGCACTTGTGAAGCTGTCTTTGTAGATTTTAAAAATAATCAATGTATTCTGTGCATAAATAGAAACATGATCTAATTTTTGTGCCCATATACTGGTAAGGTCAGATGACATGTGACTTATTTATTTGGAAAGGTAGATTTACAGAGGCAAGGAGAAACCGAATAGTCTTCCATCCACTGATTCACTCCTGAAGTGGTCGATATGGTCAGAATTGAGCTAATCCAAATCCAGGAACCAGGAGAGTATTACTGGTCTCCCGCATGTGTACAGGATCCCAAGACCTTGGGGGCATCCTCTGCTACTTTCCCAGGCCACAAACAGGGAGATGGAGCAGCTGGGACATGAACAGGTGCCCATATAGGATCCCGGGGCATGCAAGGTGAGGACTTTAGCCACTAGGCTACTGTGCTGGGCCTGACATGTGGCTTTTAAAATATGAATCATTCCCTTACTGTAAAAGGAGTCACAACGTCTGGCTCTCTTGTAATTGTGACAATCAAATCTAGTCAATCAGAACTCATAATGCCTTAATTATGTAGCATCTCTCACAAAGTGTTTAACAGCAGTTGTTTTTGATGTAGCAATATGTAAGTGTAATAAATTCACTGACAAAGCAAAAGTAAGCCTGCTTAATCATAAGTAAAACAAGAGTTTATCTCTTCTACATGACTAATGTGGAGGGAAAGAGGGAATTAGACCAGCAGAATCCTGTAGACATTCATCATGCACATATGGGGTCCAGCTCCGTGGAACCATTCTGAATAATCTGATCACAATAATGACTTTGATAGAACTGATATCCGAGTGCAGCATTCGATGGCTCTAGAACTCATGCTTTTTCCACCACACTGCTACAACCTTGTGGCAGCCCAAGGTTGACTATTGAATTGCCCTCCTTGTTTCAAAAAGACACACCCTCTTCACCCTCCATACAACTTCCCTCACTGTGGATTTCTATGGTGTGACTTAACTGAATAGGGCTTTTATTTCTTCGCCATTCATACTTCAAATACAGAGTACTCACTTTCACTGTGCAATAAATAATAGTTCTGACTTCACGGATTAGTGAGGAGTTATAAAAGTATTAACTTGGGCCTGGCACAATAGCCTAGTGGCTGAAGTCCTCACCTTGCATGCACCGGGATTCCATACAGGTACCGGTTCATATCCCAGCTGGTCCACCTCCCATCCCTCTCCCTGTTTGTGGCCTGGGAAAGCAGTAGAGGATGACCAAAGACCTGGGGACCCTGTGCCCACCTGGGATTTCTGGAAGAAGCTCTTGGCTCCTGGCTTGAGATTAGCTTAACTCCAATTGTTGCAGCTGCTGGAGAGTGAACCAGCAGATGGGAGCTCCTTCTCTGTCTCTCCTCTCTGTAATTCTGGATTTCCAATTAAAAAAATAATTAATACATCTTTAAAGAAGCGTATTACCTTGCCTGTGGGAGTTTTTTATGTTTGGGAAAAGGAGCTTGTAAAACAAGGCTCTTTGCTGATGGAGTCACCAAGGTGAGTGATCTTGATAGGAGGTGATTGCTTAGGTGTCGTTCTGTCCACAGTCAGTGTGTAGCCTGGTTGGGTGGCAGCTGCTCTCCAACCAGCCTCTGGAAGAAGAGGAACGGTGTTGGCCCTGGAAACCTCCCCCTGCCTTTCGTGCCCGCCTCCAAGTTCCTGTTTCCAGCCTTCCTAGTAATGAGTTTTCCAGTCAATCCCCAGACTGGCATTCTTAGACTTCAAAGCAAAATGCGATGTTAAAGATTCATCTGCACTCTGAAATGTTGGCATATTCTTGCTTCTACTAGTCCCTAAATAGCAGAGAAAGGCTAGGACAAGACCCTTGTGATTCTTTCCATGCCTACTTGTATTTGGAAACTCAGAAAGAGCCCGGTTTTCTTCATAGGAGGAAAGTTTCTGAAAAAACTGTGGAGGGTCAGCGAGTACAGGATCATTATGGCCACCATCTGCTTTTTTTTTTTTTTTAATTTATTTTGAAAGCAGACTTACAGAGAGAAGGAAAGGCAGAAAGAGAGTTCTTCCATCCATTGGTTCACTCCCCAAATGGGGGCAATAGCCAGAACTGAGCCAGGAGCTTCACCCAGGTCTACCACGTGGGTGTAGGGTCCCAAAGAACTTGGGTCATTCTCCATTGCTTTCCTAGGGAAGCTGGTTTAGAAGTTGAGCAGCTGGGACTCGAATTGGTATGCCTAAGGGATGCCAGCACTGCAAGAGGAGGCTTAGCATACTATAACACAGTAGCAAGATCCACCATTGTCTTATCTACCTTTTGTTTACAAAAATATGCACAACTTGAGACTGCATGTTTCAATGTGGTATCCTTGAGAATGACTCTGATTGGACCTCACATCATGGCTCAATTGGCTAATTCTCTACCTCTAAGTGCCAGGATCTCATATAGGTGCTGGTTCATGTCCCGGCTACTCCTTCTCACATCCAACTCCCTGCTTGTGGCCTGGGAAGGCAGTAAGGATGGCCCAAAGCCTTGAGACTCTGTACCCACATGGGAGACCCAGAAAAAGATCTTGGCTCCAGACTTTGAATCAGATCAGCTCTGGCCATTGTGTCCACTTGAGTAGTGAACCAGCAGATGAAAGATCTCTCAGTTTCTCCTTGTCTCTGTACATCTGACTTTCCAGTCTTTAAAAAAAGAAAATTCTTGATTTGTCACCACACAACATGTCTACAATAAATGATTACCCTCTTTCCCTATAGGTGAGCCTAAATGTGTAAAGATGATTTTTCAACTATTTAGTTTTTCTGGCCACTAAGGCCAAGAAGACTCTAGGTAAGGTGGCAAATGTCTGGAAATGACATGACATACTGCATAGATCTACAGTTTAGGTAAACCTGGAATTCAGTGCTGGTTCTACTCTTCATAGCCAAGTGGCCCCAAGAGTGATAGCTTCTGTGTCTTAGCTTCTTCACTTGCTAGATGTTGTTGCTTCCATCTCACTGGGCTCTTACGGGGATTCAACGCATATGAGAATATCCCAGCAAGTGACAGCATTTGGCAAGTGGTCAGTAAATGTTGCTGTTACAAACACACCAGCTGGAGATGCTTTCTGCACTGCCCTCTGATATCATCTTTTATTCCTTGTAGGTGGCCACATCAACCCGGCTGTGTCCCTTGCCATGTGTGTCTTTGGACGAATGAAATGGTCCAAGTTTCCATTTTATGTGGGAGCCCAGTTCTTAGGTGCATTCGCAGGGGCTGCAACCCTCTTTGGTGTTTACTATGGTGAGTAGGGGCCCCTGAGTCTAGAAGTTAGGAAGAGGTGACATCAAGGTTAGAAAGAGATGACATCAAAGTGATAAGAGGAAGAATTTTAGAATTGACAAGAAGTTCAGCATCATGAGGGGCCATAAAGTCTTGTAATGAAAACAGTGACATCTTTAATAGGGGGTCAGATGGGATGTGGTGGGCATGACAGCACTGCAAGGTGAACACACAAAGCAAGGGTTAGATCCATTGTTTCTCTGCTGCTTTTTCTAATTTGATTAAGAAAGGAGTTGTTAACTGATGGCCAAAGGTTTCACCAGTCAGAATCCTGGAAAATCTCTGAAGAAAGAGGCACAGCGGAGAAAAAAAAAAAGGCTGGATGGGGAACCACAACTCCCCTTTTTCTCAGTCAGAGCTTCTAGTTCTGTAACTGTCCTCAGGAAAAGCATGATAATAGTGATCCAAGACCCACATTTTACCTCTATTGTAACAAGAAATATTGAGTTCATCTGTGTGAATTAAATGAATTACCTCATTTAGGCTCAGTGTCTTCCTCTGGAAAGTGAGCACATTTAACAAAATTGACTCCCAAGATCGTTCCCGAGAGACTCCTTCTGTCTAATTCAATGCATGATTGATGGTTGTCAAAAAGACCTTGGGAATGAGAATTTATAAAGCAACCCAGGGAGAAACAAGTTGTAGAAAGGGGCGTCTCTCTGCACAGTGCCTCTCTGAAATTTAGAGACTAGGAGGATAAAGGAGAAATCAGAAGCAGCCCATGAGGTTAGAGACCCAGCTGCCCTGGCAAGAAAAGCCTGGAGTGGGCGGTGGGGTGGAGGGGAGGGCAGGGCGTGGATGTAATTATGTTGGTGGCTGCCATCTTCCTGCATCTGGGGGTATCTTCTCTATGCTGTGATACCCTCCAATTCTAGAGTACTTATTACAGATTACAGAGACCCTCTAGGAATCATGGATTCTTCCTGTTAGAGGAAGTGCCACCCAGGCATTTGATTGGTCTTAAGCATTCTGAATTCCCCCATGTAAAACTTTGGTGGTTGCCAGGATGGTTCTGAAGATTTGTTTTGAGTCTGTTATAATTCACCTGAGCAACCAAGGGCTTTTGAGCACTACCTCACCATCATTGGACTCCTAGGAGCATCTCTAAAACTACCATACTATGAAAGGATAGTGCTATGTCAAGCTCAATATGATTGCTTGAGTTTTACTATGGTTAACTTGTACAATATCTGCTTTAGTCTTCCCTCAGCCCTTGTCAGAAAACACTGATGTTCAGAGATTTTTTTTCCATAGACGCGTTTGTGTCTTTTGCTGGAGGAAAGTTGCTCATCGTGGGAGAAAATGCAACAGCACACATTTTTGCAACATACCCTGCTTCATATCTGTCTCTGACAAATGCGTTTGCAGACCAAGTAAGTGTAGATTCAACAAAGACTTAACTTGGGTGGCACATCATGATCTAAGAAGCAAAGTGCATTGGCATGTTAATGGGTTTATTAGGAAGGAGAGATTGTATTTTCAGAGGTCCCTGGGAAAGTTTTCTTGATTTTTAGCAAGTTGATTCTTTAACAAGTAGATGCTTTAACAAGTAGAAGGATTTTCTGCTTCATCTTGAATACATATGTGTTTTCACATCACTGAAGGTCCAGAAGAGTGGACAACTGGATATTTCAGCTGCTCTACAGGGAAATGCTATTGATTTCACCATTTTTATCTCTTGTGGAGTCCACAAGGAAAGATCTCCATGTCAATTCAAGAAATATGAAGTGTGGCATTCAGCCCGGTGAATCACAGATCTCTGTCTTAAAATGCACATAGGTTTATATGTACTCAAGGGAGTTAGAGGTTTCTATGTCCTATTAATATTTCAACAAGGTGGTGTGCTCAATTGCAAAAGTTTTTCTGGTCTGTGTATGGCAAGCACACTGTCCCTACTTCTACTACTTCTTCTACTGACTCAAGAAGGCTGCTGGTCACTTTGATCAGGACAGAGGAAGAAAGAAGGAAGGTAACAAAGAAAGAAGGAAGGGAGGAAGGAAGAAAAAAAGGGAAGAAGAGGATTCTTCTATTGTTGGGATTTAAGCAGTGATGCAGGTTAGTGCAGATATTGTACAAAGTGAATCATCCAGTTGACCAACTTTGATTGCTTCCACTCAATGGATGGATGAGAAACTATGCCCTCTTTTCTTGATAGTCTTCCCTTCCAGTTTGATCAACAAGTCATGCAAGGGTCAAGTGTGTTCAGCCTTGTGTCTGGAGCTTGAGGGACCAACAAGTAAATGTGGGTTGGAAAGATCCAAGAATTGTGGCTGAGTTCCTGAATTAAAAGAATTGCTCTGATCCCAGCTTGCTGTGAGGCCTGAGTTTCTTTGGACCCATGGATCTTAGGCCAGGGACCATTAGAGTGAAATAAATAAGTACTAGAAAACCCTGATGTCTCAACTGTGTGCAGAAACCCCTTAGGCTTTGGGGTGCATTCTTAAAAAGTCGATTATCAGTAGATACTCAATAAAACTCATGATTGCAAATTATTTCATCTTAAGATTACTAAAGACCTAAATATCATTCAAGTGCATTCCATAGTTTAATAACCATTCATTCAGCTAATAAATATTTATTGGGAACCTACTGGGCCAGATATATCTCCGTGCTTTCAAAGCACTCAGGGTTGGATGTTCCATCTGACAAATCATGCTGTTGTAGGTGACAAGAGCAATGACAGACAGGAAGCCAGAACAGCATGGAAGACAGACCCATGCGCTTCTGCGCTGCCCAAGTGTGGCAGGACAGGCTTTTCAGGAAAGAAAGCTCTTGGGAAAACATATGTCTTTGAAGATAATTTTTTGCAATATTGTCATTTTGAAAGCAGTTTGAATAGGTGTTTGGTTCCCATCCCGATTCTTCTGCAATATGCCCTAGGGCCTCTTTCTGCTCAAGTTTTCTCATCCACAGGCCAAGAATCATAGGATTCACCTCCTGGGGTTATTATGAAGCTTTCGTAAGACAAAGCACATGAATTACCTGCCATGTAATGTGTTCAGTAAAAAATAGGGAAAAAAATTAGGGGAAACAGCAGCAGTAACACTTCAGAATACTTGTTCTCATTTTTGCGTATCTCTTACAATTTTTCTTTTAAATAAAAACATAGTATTTTCATTTAATTACATAAGCATTTTCAATGCTACTAGATAGCTTTTATATTTATACCTTTTAATGGTTATCTAGCCGACAATGAAACAATGGAATATTCCTTCTCTGAAATGTTTGGAACCACAAGAGGTTCAGACCAGATTCTTTCAGATTGTGTAATATTTGCACTTACATCATGAAGTATCTTGGGAGAGGGGCCAAGTCTAAACACAACATGTGTTGATGTTTCACATGTAGCCTGAAGGATATTTATGTGGAATTTCTGGTGCACATTGAGTGTAACCTGTCACCTATAGGCAGGTGTAGAATTTTCCATATGTGGAGTCCTATTGATGCTTAAAATTTCAGATTCTGTGGAGCAATCCAAGTTTCATGGTTTTTTTTTTATTAGACAGATTTACAGAGAAGGGAGACATAGAGAGAAAGATCTTTTGTCCAATCATTGATTTACTCCCCAAGCAGCTGCAATACCCGGAGCTGAGTCTATCCGAAGCCAGGAGTCAGGAGCTTCTTCCAGGTCTCCCACACAGGTGTAGGATCCCAAGGCTTTTGGTCATCCTTGACTGCTTTCCCAGGCCACAGGCGTGGAGCTGAATGGGAAGTGGAGCAGCTAGGACACAAACTGGCACCCACACAGAATGCAAGGCAGAGGTTAGCCGGTTGAGCTATTGTGCCAGCCCCCAAGTTTCAGATGTTTTTATTGAGGACGCTGAACCTCTCACAGTTAGGTCTTTCCTTATTCATGCATACTTAGAAGGCTTCTAGTCTTTCAGCACTATAAGTAATGTTTAAATGAACATATCTGGTTTTTGTTTTTCAGTTTTCTCCATGATTTGGATTACTTGTATGATATAACAATGACAGATCCACTACCTTCAAATTGTCTGAATATGCTTCTATTTTAAAATGTGTCTTGGTGAATTACTGCTAACTTTCAAAGGAATGAGAGATGCTTTGTTCTACAAGCAAAGCTTTAAGAACTGGCATCCCTTCTTCCTTTGGTTCTATTTATTTCTTTCATTACAAATGAGTTCTTCCAATGGTTTTAAAAATGAATTTGCTGTTCATTTCTTTTGCCTATTGTCTTTTCATTGCCTATTTCCACAAGCGCTTCATTATTTTTTTTCCCTAGTCTACAGCTTACCTTTTTAGCTAGCTAGGGAAAAGCTTAGCAGAATTTTGTGTGTTCAAATAACCTTATTCAGCACTAAATTTTTCTAGATCCAAACCTGACTGCCAGTTACTAAGCATGTGACTTTGGCCAGGTGACTAATCTGTAAATGAAGATTGGATTGGTCTCTGGGATTACTGTGAAAATAAGACCCATATGCTCACTTAGTGAATGCTATTACCAGGCTTATTTTTAATATTAAGGGGTGACTGTTGGGGTGGGAAGTGAGTAGGCTACAAGGTTGCCCATTTCCTCTTGTCCATCTCCTCTCTTTCAGGTACTCTCTACCATGTTCCTCCTCATAGCTGTGTTTGCTATTTTTGACTCCAAAAACTTGGGGGTGCCCAGAGGCCTGGAGCCCATTGTTGTGGGTCTCCTGATCATTCTCCTCAGTGGCTCTTTGGGAATGAACAGTGGCTGTGCCATGAATCCAGCTCGAGACCTGAGTCCCAGACTTTTCACTGCTTTAGCTGGATGGGGATTTGAAGTCTTCACGTAAGTGTTTTTTTCTTTTTCTTTTCCTGTTTTTTTTTTTTTTTTAAGATTTATTTATTTTATTGGAAAGGCAGATACAGAGAGGAGGAGAGGCAAAGGAGAAGATCTTCCGTCCAATGGTTCACTCCTCAAGCGGCTGCAATGGCTTAAGCTGAGCCAGTCTGAAGCCAGGAGCCTCTTCCGGGTCTCCCATACACGTGCAGGATCCCAAAGCTTTGGGCCATCCTCGACTGCTTTCCCAGGCCACAGGCAGGGAGCTGGATGAGAAGTGAGGCTGCTGGGATTAGAACTGGCGCCCATATGGGATTCTGGCACGTTGAAGGCGAGGACCTTTATCCACTATGTTATCATGATGGGCCCCCACATAAGTGTTAAAGGTGGAAAGAAGAGACAGTGATTTATGCTGCATGTTATCAGAGTGGGCTGGGTTTGCACTGGGAGATAAGACAGAGTTGTGATGGGAAGGTAAGTACTCCTTGTGGTTCTCCATAGGGGGACATTTCTCTAGGGCTTTGTGGCAAGGTATTTCTAAGGGGGTTGGGGGGACAAACAGAAAGTTAGCTTCTAGATAATAAATTCAGTAGATCTATGCATGTCCCATGTGTTATGGCAATGATAATCTACTAATCTGGTTTTTAAGATTTATTTTCATTGTAAAAGCAGATTTACAGAGAGAAGGAAAAGCAGAGAGAAAGATCTTCTGTCCAATAGTTCATTCCCAAAGTAAATTGTTCACTCTGCAATGGCCAGGGCTGAGCTAATCCAAAGCCAAGAGCCAGGAGCTTCTTCTGGGTGTCCTATGTGGGTGCAGGGTCCCAAGGCTTTGGGCCGTCCTTGACTGCATTCCCAGGCCACAGGCAGGGAGCTGGATGGGAAGTGGAGCAGTCAGGACAAAAACTGGCACCCATTTGGAATCGGGGTAGAAGGCAGATACAAGGCGAGGATTTAGCCACTAGGCTGTTGTGCCAGGTCTTTTTTTTTTTTTTTACCATTTGTTTTTTTTATTTGTTATTAACATTGCATTATGTGATACAGTTTTGTAAGCACTGGGAAGTCCCCCCACCCCTCCCACCCCCCTCCTCCCATAGTGGATTCCTCCACCTTGCTGCATAACTGTGGTTCAAGTTCAGTTGAAATTCCTTCATTGTAAGCATATAGTGCCAGGTCTTAATCTGTGGTTTTGTGTCTACTTTTTTGTTACATAAATTTAGGCTCACTTTTCAATGAATTTAGGACTAGGATATGTAACAGTATTGCAGGGCATCATGAATGATCTCAAGAGATCTGCATGGAACACTCTCCAGGCTGTGGTTCCAGTGCTAGGCACCCGAATTTGACAGTTCTAAGTGTTGAGTAAATCCTGTACGTACTGAGAGAACACAGATACAGGGAATGAGTAATCAGACAAGGAAGTAACAAAAGGCATAACTGAAACAGTGAAAGCTGAGTTAGGTCCTGAGAGATGAGCAACAAAGTCCTAGCAACACAGACATAAAATAGAACCAGTGCCTGAAAACTGGCAAACCTCCATGCTTCCATTGCATACCATGCTGAGGAAATCCACCTGCTGTTAGGACTCGTCTCCCAGGACCTGCTTTGCTGATTAGGTTTTTCTCCCTGTCTTCCCACAAACTCTAACCCCATCTAGTCATGGCAGATCTCTGTGGGAATGAATCATTCTGTTTCATCAGGGAACAGGCCTGGAATACTGGAAAGGAGGAAGAAGCCCATGTGTGAACAAAATCCTAGTTTAGTGTTTAAGAACCCAAAGCATGAGAACTTACATATGCTGAATTAGATACATAGTGCATGTCAGGATTTTATTTAAAAGAAAGCTTGGGTTGCCTTGTACCAGTCTGAAAAGTAAACTTTTAAATTGGTGACCCCCTTCAGCACCATCATGGAATATCTGATACCCTCTAGCACACACATATCCAGGAAACCTACACCGTTGCTTCCTGATATGTCTGTCTCCAGTGCCCATGACAGGGCCTGGGCCATAGAAAGAATCCATAGAAATATGAATAAGAGAATGAATACATTCTTTATGTCAGACAATGCCTAGGTATTGAAAGATCCAAAGAAAATCAAATGATTTCCTTAAGGTCGAGAAACTGACAATGTAATGAGTTTCCTAGCACAGAGATTCTGAGCCAGAGGCAGGCACTTTTGCTCCAGAGAGCTTTGACAATGCCTGGAGACATTTTTGACTGTCACAATTGAGTGGAGATAGGACTGCCGCTGGTGTCTAATGAATGGAGGCTAGAGATGCTAAGAAAAGATGGGACAGACCGCCCTGTAGCATAATCATTCAGCCCAAAATGTTCATACTATTGTGGTTGGAAAACTATTCCTGAGTAGTCACAACTAAAACATGAATATTTCTATTTAGAGAGGCTCGCTGTTCCAATGGAGCATCAAAGACCCACGCCCAAACATCTCCTTATGCCAAAAGCCCACAATTAGCCCACGAGTTTTTTTTTTTTTAATCCCACCTTCCAAATCTACACATTTGGAGATCACATTTCTCCAAGGCAAGAGCCTTGGCCTTCGTTGATGATTCATTCAAGGCTCTGAAAAAGCACTGTGCCTCTGCAAACAAGCAGGCAGAGAACTTGCCTGAGAGTTCCAGAATTTCCTAATGTCAACCTTGGAGCCCCAAGTCTCTCACGAGCATCTGTCTTTTCCTCCGAATATTCGTTAGCTCATTCATGAAGCTATTTGCTGTCTTATTCAAGGGTCTGTGCTAAAGGTGGTAAGACCCTGTAACTTTGTTTATACTCTACTTAAGACTGGAAGGCAGAGGCTCTCACACAAGGTTGAAGGTGTCAAACACAATTAAAGGGAGTTCACTAATTAACTCCAGGAGTTAAGGGAAGATTTATAGCGCCAAAGGTAGGAATTACAAGGGCAGAAGTGGAAGAATGTTGTAGGATTTAGTTAAGCATGCGTAACCAGGCAATAGAGATGACGCCTGACGCAGGCAGGACCTGTAGTCAAAAGAGAATTTTAAAATAGTAAGACATCTAGTCTAGAAAGGGTACACAGAGAGGACTGGGTTTTTCTAGTTCCTATTCTGTAACTTACAGGGAGTAGCAAAGGACTTGAGGCATCGTTAGAATGTCCATTTAACAAAATGAATCTGGCGTCACTATTCGAGCTGGACTGAAAAAGAGGCGCACGGATGAGAAGGAATCCATTAGTAAAAAGCTGAATGGCTGTTAATCCTCAGCCAAAAGGTTTTGGGGAAAAAAAAATTATACAGGAGCACAGCCCTCCAAGGTCTCCTTACCTTGTCCCATGCCTCAGAATTCCACTTCCAAGGTGGATGTCATAGCTTGGACCAGCAGCTGAGATCTCCAATATTATCAAGACCGTCTTGTTCCCAGTCCTCACTTGCTGCTGTACAGCCAGTAGGGGGAGAGATTGGGGAGCCCAAAGATGTGCCAAGAGCAAGAGCCAACTCTGGCACACTCCTGCACTGTCTCTGATTAGAACCATGTTTTCCAGCAGCGTCCTCACCTTCATGCCTATGTGGCTAGTAATGATTTAATAGATTGAGGATCTGTAAAGTATAATTGATTTTCTAAAATAGTCGACCATAGTAATAAATGTCTAAATTTTTAAAAAAGATTTATTTATTTTTATTACAAAGTCAGATATACAGAGAGGAGGAGAGACACAGAGGAAGATCTTCCATCCGATGATTCACTCCCCAAGAGGCTGCAATGGCTGATGCTGAGCTGATCCCAAGCCAGGAACCAGGAAGAGTCTCCCAAGCGGGTGCAGGGTCCCAAGGCTTTGGGTCGTCCTCGACTGCTTTCCCAGGCCACAAGCAGGGAGCTGGATGGGAAGTGGAGCTGCCGGGATTAGAACCGGCACCCATATGGGATCCCAGAGTGTTCAAGGCGAGGACTTTAGCCGCTAGGCCAGTTACCAAGTTCTTGGTGTCTTCCAACTCAGTTGTCACACGGTCACTGCCCTGTGCACATGGAAGCCCACCTCAGGCAGATGACCACAGCTGAGCTCCTCTTCTTAGGACCAGTGAGCCTGACACAACTTAGCTGTTTGACCTTTTAGAAGGAAGAGAACTCAGTCCCTGGCATGAGGGCATGTCGGGCATGCTTTGGATAGGAGAGTTTCTTTGGATAGGAGAGTTTGGATAGGTGCTTTGGATAGGAGAGTTTCTTTCCCTTTGAAAGGAAACGAAGCATCATACAGAGTAATCTACCTCCAGAGAAAGCTCCCAGTTCTTTAAAATCAGATGAAAGAAGCAGTCACCCTCCGGTACCTCCCTCCTAAGGAAAGTCTGTCATAAATGAGGGTGGGGGAGTGGCTGTGAGTGGCCAGACTGTCCTCTTTCCCATGCTGTAAGAGCGACATCTGGTGGCTACTCTGCTCCATCTCACTGCCCTTCCTTTAAGCCTGCATTGATGAGAGACTCGTGAGGATTGGGATGCTGCAGGTGGAAGGGACCCTGAGCAGGGAGCAACCGGAGCTCGGAGAGTTCTAGACAATCCCGAGATTAGAACTAAGTCACATGGAGACCAGGACAGCGCTCTTGTTTTCTGCTACTTTATTATCTTTTCTAATCAAAATTCATTGTAAACAAACAAACAAACAATCCTACAGAGTATGTGTGTAGCGATCCAGGATATAATGAAAAGATGAGGAACGTATCTTTGTAGAATGCAACCGCTACCAAGTCCTTACAATATGTGATCCTCTGATCTGCCTGTCTCCCCGAGAAGTATCCTGAATTTTTGCGTTTATCATTCCCATGTTTTAAAAAGATGGTAGGGCCCAACTCAGTAACCTAACGGCTAAAGTCCTTGCCTTGCATGCACTGGGATCCTGTACCGGCACCAGCCCATATCCTGGCTGCTCCACTTCCCATCCAGCTCTCTGCTTGTGGCCTGGGAAAGCAGTGGAGGATGGGGCAGGCTTTGGGACCCTGCATCTGTGTGAGAGCTCCTGGCTCCTTGACTTCAGATCTGCTCATTTCTGGCCATTGGGACCACTTGGGGAGTGAATCAGCACATGGAAGCTCTTTCTCTGTCTCTCCTTCTCTCTGTAAATCTGATTTTCCAATAAAAAGAACTAAATCTTTAAAGAATGAGATCGTTTTATTTTGAACACTGTATGTTTTGTTCACGTCCATGCACTTGTGGACCTTTGTACAGTTACTTCAATGATCTCTTTCCAAAAGCCATCTGCTTTTCCCTAGAACTATACCTTTAATAGAAAGTGCTAATACTGAAGATTTTTGAAGGGCAGTGAATCATGGCACAAAAACTCAATCAGAGCTGTGACCTTAAAAAAATCCATAAATTTCAAATAAATAAGAAATTAATATATCCACCTTGGATTTTTTTTTAAATCATTCATTCATGGACAAACATTCCTTGATCACTTATTCTGTTTGTGCACATACACTAATCATGGGCAGAAACCTTCCCGAGTTCTGCACATCTCCATTGACAAGCCCAGGCCTTCCGGGCTGAGGCAGAGGCAATTCCCAAACAGCTGAGCTGGGTGCAGGACCTCCGTCTGGACCATTGACATACGACACACGTTTTCCAAAAGGAAAGGAGACGGAAGCTAATGTCTCGCAGGTATTAACGGAGTAGATCATCTGAAATCGGGGGTCCTAGGAAATCTAGGGTTGATTCCCATGCGGCAGTGATGATCTTATACCAAGCTCTGCTTAAGGAAAAGGAAGGCCAAGAAATGTGTCACTAATTACTCGTTTTGTTTCAGAGTCGGAAATCACTTCTGGTGGATTCCCGTAGTGGGCCCTTGTGTTGGTGCCGTCCTTGGAGGTCTCATCTATGTTTTGTTCATTGAAATTCACCATCAGAATCCGAAATCAGATTTCGAGGCAGAACAATCTGAGGACAAGCCAGAGAAATATGAACTCAGTGTTGTAATGTAGTGGTATACTCTAAAAGAAGACAGCAAAGTGTGTGTGTATTTTTAAAACTCAGGTGCAATTTTCTCCGCTAGCTGTGTGGAGAACATGAAATGACGAAAGCAACCAACTGAAGGGTTGGAAACACCACTTTCTGCAAATTTCAATAGCAAGAACTGTCCCCTGAAGCAGCCTTCCTTTCTGCCCTGTTTATTTCATTCTTGATGGTCATCCTCATTGCTAAGTAGAAATTAACATCCTGAGATCTTGGCTACAGACTCAAAATGATGGTCTTAATATGCAATGCCTTCATGAAACCATGTCGCCAAAAGCCTCCTGTCCAATGTCAATAATAACAAATTCCAAGTATCAGCCAGAACCCAGAGTGAAAAAGCCAAGTTAGCATATCCACAAACTAGAGAGCTGACAGGCTAGCTAGCTGGTAAAATTCTGCTACTGTATTTGTACACAGCTAGGTATTCTGGATTTGTATGAATCCCAGCCTTTTTGAAACCTGGGGATTGGGAAGGTCATCGAACGAAGCCGTGAAGCACAGATGAAGGACGCTGTGACACTAAGAAACCTCAGGAGACAAGATGGATTCAACAAAGCAAGTGCAATTTTTCTAATGGAAATCATTCATCAAGTTAATCTTTGGTTCTTTTGCATTTTAGAGAACCCCAATTAATTTCTTTATATTCAGTATATAATGACCTAACATACAATTGTCACCTCAGTCATGAAAAATACATCATTCTATCTTTCTAACTCCCATGTATTTTCCTAATTGCTCCCTTGAGGACAGCCATTTGACAAGGTAAGTCAGTGGCTGTATTCATCCATTATTCTACATAGGACCTCAGAGCCAAAGCTGGAAGCCTTCCCATCCTGGGTTAGTAAAACCTTCACACTAGAAAGTCCCTAGAGAAGTAACAATAACTTACTGGACTTTACCTTTCACAAGGCATTTTCATATATGGTCTAATTTAGTCCTCATAATGACTGAGGAAATACCTTGCTGTCCATTTTCCAGATAAAGAAGCAAAATCTCAGGACGTGAAATGAGAGCCTGGGATCATATGACAAGCTGCACACTGTGCAATGTACCCTTGACCCTTCAGAGGGTCAGTTAGCCCCCCGAGAATCTCAGCCAAGCCTTGCTGGCTGTTCAGAAGCAGCAGAATTGGCAGCTCCCAGGACATAACGGACACGCACCGTATGCTCCCACATTCTGTCTGGTTTTCCTCCCATAGTTACTGGAGTGCTATTGAGGAAAGGAGGCAGCAGTTTGATTATAATTTTCCTGTGCTAATAGGCATTATCAGAGGCTTCGCTTCCTAAACCATCTTTGGCCTTACTGAGTCTCGATCTGGCTTCCCTATCAATCTAAAGCATTGTATTCCAAGAACTGCTTTTCCTCGGCCGGTTTAGGAATTTTTTTGAGTTGATATTACTTTCAACTGAAGAGTCTTAAGCGCCAGAGGAACTGCTCTGTATCAACGGATATACCTTCAGTCATGTTGCTAAGAAGCCCAGCATTCCGAGGCATCCAGTTACCAAATGCTGTGTGATGATAAAAGAACAACAAATGGCAAATGCAAACTGGTTCTGATGTCCTACGATTTATGGAATATGGAATTTTCCCTCTAAGGTTACCCACATATTTCCCATTTCCTATTTGAAATAAAAAGGTTGGGTTGTTATTGGTTTCTTTGTGACTTTTTTCTTTTTGCAGGTAAAAAGGCAGCTTACATATACTTAGTTCAGAGATTATCCTGTCTACCAAAGTTTGGTTTCTCTGGCAAGATTTGAGCAAATATATGCAAATAGTTCAGAGAGGCAGCAAGAGTTGAGAACAGTCATTAACTAAAATTTTAACTAAAAGTTTGGTTTCAAAACAATTTATTACAAACCAGTATTTACTATTGGAAGCAAATTATGATTTTTAAAGCAAAAGAGAACCCAAAGTTGGAGTTCCCGGATGGATTGTGGAATCGGTGCGTTACTTAGGTGCTCATTAAACACTATTTGATGATTGATGACTAGGATTATGAAAAGGAAACATACTCTTAGTGGAAATCGACTCCAGGAAGTTTTTAAAACAGAAACAGTCTTATTCCATGTGCTCACATAGAAATCCTTTCCTATCGTCTAGTTTGCAAATATGTGGGATTGCCTTTGTCAAGTTCTTTCCCAATAAAAAATTCATAAGATTGAATAACTGGTATCCATCAATACCAGAGCTAAGTAATTTTTTTTTGAAAAAAAAAATTGTTCCTTTAGGAGTCGGAGTCAGCATTGTAGCATCACCTCTTCCCTCTCTTATGACAATTGGAAGACGAGCATTTATCATAATGCCAAACTTAGAATTTCTCTGACTCCAATCAGCTAACATCTCAGGGCATGTCGAAAGATTTTTCTAACCACTCACAACCAGAGTCAGTGTTCAGCTGCTGAACAGAATAAATGAAGTATAACTCATATTTAAAACTTCGCTCCTCAAGATATAAATTAGTACTTTCTTGGAATTGTTGATATACACGCATTCACACAGATCTTATTAAGGTATGCCATTGCTCATTAATGGAAAAGAATGTCTTAGAGTCACTCTTTTATTTTACAGATTGACTTATAAATTTTATTTACCCATAAAATCTGTCGTTCAAGTAACACCATATTGTTGCCCACAGGTGAACTGGAGCTGCCATAAATACATCCCACTGCAGCCCTTTGAGGGTCCCTGAAAACTGTGTGCTGGGGTTAGTTGGGAAGGAGCAGTATCATAGCTGGAAATCGGGATACATTATTGGCGAACTTTTTAAAGTTTGAAGGTTAGAACCTAGCAAAGGGCATATATTAGGTCAATATTAGGTAAGTTTCTGTAGATGTCTTAGTAAACTGGATGTCGCATATGGATTACTTGGCTCACCAAACATCACCTACAAAGAGTTGTTACATGTTTGTTCCCTGAGATAACATGGGAGCCGATCAAACTCCACAGAGAAGCAATAGTACAAAGGGTGGCTGGGTGGGTAGGTAGAGCCAATCAACCAAGACACAGACTCTTGTTACTGGAGAGGGAATGTTTTTTAAAAGGCTGCCTCTTGAGTTAATAAAAAAGGAGAGCCTCATATTGACGGAACACGAATACATGAACTCAGCTGATAGAACCCATGGAACTACAGATGGGTGGAGCTGCTGCCCCAGCACAGCTGGTCTGTTTCCCTCAAGGGTTGCGTAATTTTTCAGGGTTTTCAGCACTTTTGCCTTCCTGAGTCTCTTCCCCTCTATTTCCTGCACAAGTAATTAACATAGTTTTAGAAACGTCCTGGTGATGGGATGCTTTGTACTCCTTTATTCCTCTATAATACTTCTGAGATCAAAATAGTTTTGTAGGCATCTAAAAGTAGCTTTGGCTGCAAGAAAGCATGGAGCCTAATGGGGTCAGCCTTTCCTCTGGTTTCCTTCCTAGTGTCCAGAAACCAACCACACACAGACTGCCCGAATCAGCGTTGTAAAGTCTTGGGAGTCTGTCACGAGGAGCGCCCCAGAGCCCCAAAAATGAAGCTACAGGAATTGTTGATGTGTGGCCCCCCCACCTCTCTTCCTCAGATACCACTAGGGAAGGGACTTCCGGACTGACGACCAATCCACTCAGTGTCCTCTCGCGTATCAATGTATCTTCATTAATTTGACAGGAAGAGAGAAAGTCCTCATTTTAAAATTTTAATTATAAATGGAAATAAATGTTTAAAGAGTGGCACAGCAGTTTAAAACACAGGCGATTAATGAAAATCTGTCAGCTCTGTTTTCAACATATATTTCAAGTCTAATTGCTCGTCTCCCAGAGCCCTAGCGTAAGAGCCTGGTTTCTCTCTACTGGATGTTAGAAGAGTGTGCTAATTGGTCTTCCTTCCCCCTGCTTAAACTTGCACAGTGATAATCAGATACCATGCCCTCCCCCTAGGACATTCTTGACATCATATGCTCTAATTGTTTTCTTGTGTTGTAGATTTTACTGTTCTTCCCTCGTCTGTCTTCTACCTCCAGGCACACAGACCTTGGCTGCGATCCTGGATCTCACTGAGCAATCCCTGCTATAGGGTCTGTGCACCCGATGTGTCTCTTGGACTTCCCTGTCTTGTGAAGTCTAGGTCTGAATGTTTCCACCTTGGACAAGTCTTTCTGGTCACTTGTTGCTTCTCCTCTCTGCTTTACTTTTTTTTTTAACCTTCCCTAAATATGTACATGCTACATATTAAACCTGACAAGGTAGCAGAAACTTTCTAGGTACACTGACATTCCATATATTTGATAGATTAGCAGTTTCAAGGATGTATACACATATCAAGATTCACCAAACCTTACTCTTGTAAATCTGTGTGCTTCACTGTAATTTATAAACATGATATCTTCAAAAATACCTACATCTCATCAGAAACTGTGAATGCCAGAAGGCCATGGGATAGCATACTTCAATTAGTAAAAGGAAAGAAAAAAAAAAACCTTCAAGAATTCTATATCCAGAAAAAAATCCCAAGGAAAACAAAAGAGAAGTTAAGACATTGTATCCCCAAGTCCTTCTCCTCCGAAATAGGCATTTGAAAGATGCACATCTAAGCCATCATCTTTTGGATGATCTTTCCAGCTGTGCACATCACAGGTGTTGGTGTGCAGGTGGAGAAACTGGATTCTTTCCACTGGCTTTGGAAAGCAGTTCCTCAGTAACTAACTTTCCAAAATTTCTTAGCAATTTCACTTTCAGTTTTACATCCAAGTGGATTGAAAACATATGTCCACACAAAAAGACTGTATGCTAATGTTCAACGTTTATAGCTAAAATATACTAGTGTTATTTATAACAGCAAAGATATGGAGGCAATCCAACAATTGATGCCTGGGCAGATTAAATGTTCATCTCCGTACAGTAGAATATTACTCACTCACAAAAAATGAAGTAACAAAACATGGTACAAACTGGATAAGCTTTGAAAATACTGTACTGGGTATGCAGCAGTGGCCTTGTGGCTAAAGTCCTCACCTTGAACACACCGGGATCCCATATGGGTTCTAATCTTGGCAGCTCCACTTCCCATGCTTGTGGCCTGGGAAAGCAGTTGAGGACAGCCCAAAGCCTTGGGATCCTGCATCTGCATGGGAAACCTGGAGGAAGTTCTTGGCTCCTGGCTTTCTATATATCTCGGCACAGCTTTCTGTATATCTCTGTATATCCAGCTCCTTCTCTCTGCATATCTGACTTTGCAAAAAAAATTAAGATCTTAAAAAAATACTGTACTGAGGCATGGAGCCATGGTACAGCAGGCTGATACTCAGCCCTGTGGTGCCAGCATCCCATATGGGCACCAGTTCATGTCCTGGTTGCTCCACTTCTGACCCAGCTCCCTGCTTATGTCCTTGAAAAGAAGAGAAGATGACCCAAAGCCTGCTCACATGGGAGACCCAGAAGTTCCTGGCTTCCAGCTTCGGATCAGCTCAGCTCTGGCCATTGCAGCCATTTGGAGAGTGAACCAGTGAGTGTAAGACTTTCTCTTTTTCCTTCGCTCTCTGTAAATCTGCCTTCCAAGTAAGAAAAGTAAATAAATCTTTTAAAAGAGGGAAATATTGTGCTAAGTTTTAAGAGCCTGACATAAAAATCACATATGGATTTTTAAAATTCCAATAATATGAAATTTCCAGAAGTAGACAGGTCTATAATGATAGAAAGTAGCAGTTGCAAAGGTGAGGAAAGTCATCATCAATGGTTATGAAGCTTTTTTGGTGTGCAGTAAAAAAATATTTTGGAATCAGATAATGATGGTAATAGTTTTGTGCATGAACTCTAACCTATTAAATTGTGCACTTCAGAGTATCAATTTTATTATACGGGAATTTTTCTCTATTAAAAAAAAGATGTTGTGGACAACTGGAAGACAATCTGGAAGCACTTAGTAATAGCTGATACATACTCCCCCGTGACTCAGCAACCTCAATCCTCTTTATATATATATATATATTTTTTTTTAAGATTTATTTTTTTTATTGGAAAGGCGGATATACAGAGAGGAGAGACAGAGAGGAAGATCTTCTGTCCGAAGATTCACTCCCCAAGTGAGCGCAACGGCCGATGCTATGCCAATCCGAAGCCAGGAGCCTCTTCTGGGTCTCCCACGCGGGTGCAGGGTCCCAAAGCTTTGGGCCGTCCTCGACTGCTTTCCCGGGCCACAGGCAGGGAGCTGGATGGGAAGCGGGGCTGCTGGGATTAGAACCGGCGCCCATATGGGATCCCGGGGTGTGCAAGGCGAGAACATTAACCACTGAAGGAGGTAGGCATGGAATGCTTCTTTTTTTTTATCATTGTTATTTGTTTTGTTTTATTTTGTTTATTTGCAGTGGGGTACAGTAGGACTTTCCAAGAAACTTAGAGTGCATTACTAGGGAGTAGATAAGTGAAATGTGGGGGATGCAAACCATCACACTCTCATTAGGCAGCAACTAGCCACAGGTGTCAGATGAACATAATGTACCAAATAGCTCACTGTTTGAAGAGAAATACTACTGAGCTATAAACAGAAACAGGATAAGGCCTATAGCAAGCATCACTCATGTAAATTAGAAACGCATAATACGTATTCTTCAATGATGTTTGTAAATAGAGGAACCCAGAATGCCTACAATGAGTGAGAGCAGGGGCAAGGAGTGAAAG